TAGATTTGTGGCAACTTGTTTTCCTTCTAAATCTCGGACAACTCTTCTCAGTCTCCTTTGCTAGCTTCCTCTTCTCTTCTCAACCTTTAAATATTATCATGTCTTAGAGTCAATCTTGGATGACTGTCTTTTCCTCACCAACACATTTGTCTAAATCATCTCAGTGATCTCTATGGCTTTGAATGCAATTTATTCTCAATGGTTTCCCCAACATGGGTCTACAGAGATACCTGTGGAACTCTCAACTGTGCCTCATTGTCCACTTCACATGTCCATATAGATGTGTCTATTGGTCCTCTCAAACTTTATCTGAACCACAAAGAATTCATTTTCCTTCTGATCCCCAAGGTTCTCACCCCAGTCTTTCCCACAGGAATATAGAGAATCTCATACCGAGAAGCTCTTTTACCTTGTGCTCAATCCAAATGTTAACGGAGAGTCTGGATTTATCATTTTCTTCACTTCCCATGTTCTAATGGTAGATTCTATTAACCTCCCTTCTACATACACCTCCAAATCCACACACTTCTGTTAATTTCCACTGACACATCTCTTATCTAAGTGCCAGTACTTCTCACCTAGGCTAGAGAAATGAACTTTTACTGTCTCCCTGCTTTCAACTTTGTCTCCTTGTAATTAATTATGAAAAAGAGACAATCCAATCAACTGAAAATGAGATCATGTTATTCCTCTGCTCAAAATCTTCAGTGATATCTTTTTTTTTTTTTGCTGAATTAACAATGCATTATCACACTGACACATTCAGATGGAGACTCAACATGAGTATATACTAAAATCAGTTTACTACTAAAAGTTCCGTTTTTCCCTCTATTTATAGCCTGTTTCAAAGTATTTTTATGACATGCCAAAATATATATTAAGTTTGTGATAAACCAAATAATATCAGGATAGAAACAGAGTAAAACAGTAGTATCTGTGTAAATAGGAAACAAACTGATGTATAAGACTTCAAAAATTTACCACTTATATAGTATTTAAATCCAGTTATCCAATTTAAAATAAGATCTCTGAGAAAAATTACAGTCTGTTAAGTGAAAAATCTAAACTATAAAATATTCTTAGTAAAGGAACTAAGAGCAAAGAATAAAATAAGGATGAGCAACTCAATAAGAACTGGAAGGTAATGCAGGCAAATTACAACACAGTTTTTTTTTAAGATCATCCCTTTTTTTTTAAGATTTATTTATTTATGCATACAGAACTGGGGTACAGGCCAGAGGTGCAGGGGCGGTGAGAGGCTTCACCAGAGACAGAGTGGGGAGCAGAACAGGCAGATCGAGGAAGTACACTGCTGAGGGGAGCAGCAGGCAGGTCAGGAGAGGTCTGCCACGCCACAACACAGTTTTAATGAAGTGATGAGGATGTGGCTAATTTCTGCCTTTGATGCTTACTGATATTCTGAAATTGGTTTGTCACAATATACCACCAAACAGAAATGGAAACGACAATGAAGCATAAAACCCTTTGTTCATTAGAAAACTGTCCATCTTCTAGGTACTTGGAGAGAAAAGCCTAACACCATTCTCTACACCAGTATTTTTCAACTAGACAGTTTCACCATGCAGAACATATTTGGCAACTCCTGGAAACAGTTGTGATTTTCACAATTGCAAGTGGACCCTAACTAGTAAGCAGCAGTCAGGGCTACCACTGAACATTGTACAATGGCATAACAGCACAGAAATATCTAACCCCAAATGTCAAAAGATGCTTGGTCAAGGAATTCTGCCTAGAATGATCCTACCCTAAATCTAAGCAATCCTGCACCTCAATGGTAGAACCAGGGGTTAAGTCTCAGCACTATGAAGCTATAAGCAGCCACTATAGCATGAGCTCAATCCCTAACCAGGGAGGTGACCCACATGGCACAGCAGACTTCTCCTGTCTTGCCCACTGCTGCCTTCAGCAGTGGATTTCAGTCAATATGCCTGTTCTCACTTTCCACGCCTCTGGCCTACACCCTAGTTCTTGTATGTAGACATAAATAAATCTTAAAAAACTAAGTAAGTAAGCCTACCTGCCCACCTGCTCCCCAACCAGCAGAATTAACAAGTAAGGCTTTCTCTGATATTCCTTTCTGGAGACATTCTCATGATCATTTAATCATTGTGGAAGGGAGGGGAGGCCGGAGCACACTGAACCACACAGCAGGCATTTTTAAAATACACAAATACACAACTTGAGACAAGATTAACAACTGCAGGCTGAGCCTATACTCATCCTTCATTTTAAGCACAAATTCTTGCTCAAAGCCAAGCAGAAGGTTTCCCTAAGAGTTAACCAAGGGAGACAGATATATAAATGTCGATAATAACATGACATTGCTTAAACAGGGATGTATAATTCTAGAGATGGAATCTTAATAATGAAATTTATTTATTCTATGTGGGTTGGAGGAAGGAAAGTTCTGGAAAGAGAAGAACAACACTCAACTATCTTTAAAAGAATTATTCGCAGGAGCAATTGATTGGAAATCACAAAACTTGAGTTTTCTGAATGGAAAAAAGTTCTGAATGCAAATGTAGGTCTTGATAAATAAAAAGAAATAGTAGGGAATGGGGTGGCCTCTTCACATACTGATGCCCACAGCATAAAGTCACTGAAGTGCTTTATAGTTCTTGAATGCAGATCTATTAGCACTTCTTGTCAATTATTGATCTTAATAACCATTAAGATTAATGGCTAGCCATTAATCATTAAGCAGAATCATAAAATTCTACTGGAGTACTAGAAAAACTGTAGACAATTTAACAAAATGTATTTCTTTCTAAAACCCATTCAGAAGCAAAGTCATGTTACCATAAGCAATACCCTGGATTTTTCAAAATCTTCTATAAATCTTCATTTTTGGGTTTAAACTGTGCTCAATGTAAGTGTCTCAAGAGAAAGGATCTTGTCTTACATTTAATACACACTGAATAAAATATCTACATGAAAAAATCATCTCAAAGAAATTAAGATTATTTTTAAATGAAGGGAGTAGAGTACAAGTAACATTTGATGAAGGACTATTTTATCTGATCCATGCACTGTTTTCAGAGGAAAATACAACAAAACCAAACTACATAAAATGGGTTCTTCCAGGAATAGATTTTTTTTTAAATAAGGTCTTAATACATTTAACCAGAATAAGTGGTTAAGACAGGGGATATGCAGTCCTTCATTTGCTCACTGTGTGACCTTGAACAACTGACTTAACATCTCTGGGCCTCAAACTCCTTTTATTTATTTATTTATCTATTTAATTTTGTAAATAGGTTAACAGCAGCCATCACTGTTTCCATAGGAGGACTGAATGAGAGGTAATGCACAGCAACATACCTGAAAAAGGGCTCAATAAGCAATCATTATAATTATTTCTATGAGTGTTAGTTGGTGATGGGGAGAATTATCAGGTACTATGGAAGAGAAGGAGAAGGAGGAAAAGGAATACTGGTCTCAGAATTATTTATTTAGAATTAAGGTCCCCTTACTATGCTTCTTGGGTAGCGTTCTATGTGTCCTGGGTAACTTCACTTACTCATTATCCACAATGGCCAATTTAAACCTCTTCAAATCTGAATAGAAAGTCTTTTGGATGTCACAGAGAGTACAGAATTCAGACAAGACACCCTTACCTTCCTGTCCTTCTGCACCAGTCCACCTCCCTTTGTGTGTCTGCCACCTAGTCCTTTCTAAAGGTTATTTCTCTTTCAAATTATACATGGGTCCTCTTGACCATTGCCCTCTTCTCATGTCATTTCAGATCCAAACTTTTCACATGTGCAGCCTTCCATAAGCAAGTCCTCTTACTACATTTTAGCCATCGGTTGCAGTTTCTACAACTGGGAGAAGAATCTCAGGACTTGCATTGATCACTCTGGCATCTGATATAACTGGCCATTTCCTCCTCTTTTAAATTCTCTTGAGTCTCAACTTCTAAGATATTATTATCTGCAGATTTCCTCCTAACTCTGAGGGCTGCTTAGGTACTAATAATCTCCTTTGTGGGCTCCTTTTCAGTTTTTTACCACTTAAATTACAATGCTTGCCAACTCCATTTTTAGCTGTCCTCTCACTTTCCCCTTTTAATTGTACCCACTCATACAGTGATAAGCTGACAGTGTCCGAGTTCATGTCTCTAGTCATGGCTTCTTACTCAGCTCCACATCTGTATTTTCCAATCACCTAGTAGTTATCTCCCCTTGGAAAACTGGATGTGTAGAAGAGTCATCTTTCACCAAATGGAGCTTACTCTCTACCCACAAGCCTCAACTTCTCACCCCAACCCACCTTCCCAACCAGCTGCCCTTCCAATGTCCTTGGTGCCAATTGCAACACTATGGGAAGCTTGGGATTCACCAAGTCTTGTTGTTTCATCTTATGAATGTCCTGTTTGTTTACTCTATTCTTTCCTTTCCTATTTTAGTTTGCCAATACTCATGGGGTTTTGTGGGCCTGCTTTACCCTTATACTCCCTCCACAAGTTAGAAGCATTTTCCTGTTGTATGAAATTTGCTCATGAGATTCTTTAATTGGCATCCTTGCATGGACCTCTACAGCCTTTGGAACAGAATTTAAACTCTCCAGCAAGCCACCAAAATGATCTTCATAATTTGACCGCTAAATATGTTCTCAATACCAACCCTTATCAGCTCTTTTCTCCCACTCAACTTCAGTCATGCTAAGCTACTTGAAAACCTTTTACACCACTTATTTTTCCTGTCTTTTTGTCCTTCAGGCTTCTTTCTTGTTGGAACACCTATTCAGACCATCTTTTCTACATCACACCCTAATATTCAACGCTTCCAGTGTGCCCGGTGTATTTCCTCTCTGAAAGCACTTATGCCTTGTGGTTCTTTCTACATTAGTTGATTTAAACAGTGGATCTGAGGCTGTGATTCTATATTCTGTTTCCCCTCATACCAGTACCCTGTCTAGTGAATGAAATCAAACTACCTGCTGGAACCGCAAATACTTTACCAGTATTTGTAGATTTATCAGAAGTCAAACAGCAAACCAACAATTGCATAGAGAGTAAAACCAGAGCTACTATCACCTTGTCCACATACACACTGCAGACAAGAATTAGGAAACGGAATAATTAGTAAATTATATGGTGACTTGGAATGTCAAATGTATGGTGAAATCAACAATTGACAGAGGGGCCCTTTAGAGACACTAGTAGGGTCTCAATAGGCTGTTCAGAAAAAGTTTCAAAAAAAAATGTGATTTCTGCTAAGCATGAGTTCAACAGGAGCCTGCAGTAGGACTAAGAACACACTCAGACAGCAAGTTTTATGGGATTTGACTCATCAGAGGACAAGTCACTCTTGTTCACTACTCTGTTGCTAAGGCCTGCCACCTGACAGAATCATAGTAGCCACTAAGTAAGTATTTGTGTTGAACTGAATTTTAAAATGTGCAGCTGGTGATACAAGAAAACATCTGTTGATAAAAAAGGCAGTACTTTTTTTCCATTTGCCACTCCATAAAAAGGTAATTTGTGTATGTGTTTACTAGAACTCTTTCCTCAAAAGTGAAATATTGCTTCACTCTTTGGTTGGCAAATGTGTTGTTTCAAGATGGAGAAGAATTTTCTTTAAATGAAGAGAAAGCTATTTCAGTCCGTAATCCTCAGAGCCAATTTTGGATCTCAAAACGCACTTTTCATCAAAGAATCTTAAGAAAAAAATTCCTGCCAATTTAACCAAGACATCCAAAAATATTTCATTCCAAAGCCAAGCTTTCTGCTCAGGAGCATTCTCAATGAGATGTCATTCTTCCAAAGATCTTCCATTGAGCCAAAAGACACCTGAATCAGCTGGTCCAAATTCCAACATCACCTTCCTGAAGGAAGAAGTCACAATGGCCTGCCAGTTAGGAATTTGGCATGCTCCCGATATTTTTCTGGGTCTCCAACAGAGATATTTGAATAAACCAAGCCAGAAACACAGGTAATGTGGAGTTGGAAGTCAACTTAACATGTCTACTCTCATTACAAACACAGACTGAGGCTCAGTAATAATGTCACCCAAGATGCATTTCGGGAAGCAGCGGGTTGATGGCGTTGGTCTTGGGTGCTGGCCTGAGGTTCAGTCACATTGGTGCTGTTCATTGAACACCAACACTTCTCACACATATGATTTTATCAATTCTGGTAGTCACTGGAGATAGGTAAGAGGGAATTATTTCTACTCTTGAACAGATGAGGAAGTTGAGCCCCGCCTAGTGGTGAATTCCAGCTGGAAAGTAACCAGCAGAACCAGCAGCCAAGGTGCCACATGGTTCAGGGTCTTGCCTTCATCATGGCTGACTGGGTGGGAGGCCCACATGGACACAGGCTTCTTTCCTTTCAGGCCTGTGCCCTTACAGTTTCCATGGTCAGGTACCTACTATGCTTCCCCCAAGGCAGACTGACTATAATAGAAGTTCTCATTGCCAGAAGAAAGAGACACATTGGATAATGAGGCAGAAACATCTGTGTTGATCACTTTTGAGGTTTCACTTAAATAATCAATCAACTGCTTTTCTCAGAAACTAAACAGAACCACAAGACCCCCTAACCCTTTTCAATCTGAACATAGCACTCATTATGGCATCAGCATCTTCTTATTTTATGTAGACACCATTGATGGAATTTCTCATCTGTTGCTTCAAATCCAATAACCATATTTTTAAAATAATCATAACATAACTTGCAAAATGTTTCTTTGAATGATTCACTTAAGGTCATCAAGACTGCTTGCTGAAATAAGTGTTAATTTTTCAACAAGTAAAGATGTGTCTGGACAAGTCCACATGTGTAGGCATTAGGCTAAGAAAGGAATCTGGCATGGAATTTTTAACACTTGGGTCTAATCATTAATGCTGCAGTCCTGTCCTATTTACAACCTGACATTTGTTTTTGCACTTTCAACATCCCATGATTTTGCAGCTACAGTAAATAGCTTTAAGAAATGACACCTCGCCTTAGCTGGGTCTATATTTTGACTAGCAGGTCTTGGCATTATGTCCACCTCAGCTATCTCCCCAAAATGCTGCACTTGTGCTTAAAATGAGAAAAATTAAATAAAAGGAAAAAGAAAATGTAAAAGGAGGGGAAAAAACCTCTACCTGTGAACTTTAGGATCTAATACACAAAAGTTCTTAACTAACTTACAAGAGCAACTTCTAATTATTTCATCATTGCCTCTTTGATTCTAAATGTTTCTTACTTTTAACTTTTCCATAATTTTTTTTTTTTTGGTGTGCTGTAAAGAGGAAGGTAGTAAAATCTGGGAGAGGAAAAGAGCATCAGTGAAACAAGATGCCAAAGAAAGGCTTCTATATCAACCACATGTAGGACACATAGGGCCACAGCTGGCTTCTCTATACTTTGCTTTTAATGACACAATTCAGACTCAGGTCCATTTAAAACTTTTTCATGGTAAAATTCAAAACATAAATGGATAGGAAACCAGACGAGTGTCACCAAAGTGAATGTTAATACCTATGAGAAATTCAAGTTTCCCCCCCAAAAAAAAAAGTATTCTCTAGCCCCACAAGAGACTTTCATAATGTGTTGCTCTGAATCACTTAACTTTCCCTTTAGCCTAAATGTACATTCTATAATAAAAAAGTTCCCAATAATTGTAAGATGATACGTGTCATCAGACATCATTGAATTAGTGGAATATTCCCTTGAGGAGTCATAAAATGTTTCATAGTCTTCTGCCATCTCAGGATCTATTAACTATCTTTGGAGAGTGTATAGGAATGAGGTAGGTTATTTGAACTTCTCTATTTGAATTCTGGGGATATGCAATTTTGTGAAATATTGATTGAGAGAATGTCCATTACCTATCACGTTGACTTCAGGTAGTCAAGTAAGGGCCCTAACTCACAAGTCCTTACTGCTGGTCTACAAGTGTTTTCCACAAAACCTGCCATACCCCACACCCCCAATTCTAGACAGAACCTAGATATAACACTACATTCCAAAATGTACTGGATACAGTCCAGCTCGAAAGTTAACACTGGCATCTTACATTTTCATCTGTTTTTTCTAGAAGGGATATTCCAAAGGAAAAAACTTCCAAAACACAAGAGAAAAGTCACTGGGGAGACAGTCCTGGGAGTGGAGGGAGAGGGGGTAGGGGACTTGGAATACTGGACTTTGTCTTGTATGTCTGTAGTGCCCTTATGTGGGCACCAGGGGGCGCTCCTGCATGACGCAAACCCCCCCACTAGTGTTCCCGGGTCAGGTTTTTTCTCTGAATGCTTGCCCCAAATCCTAAAAGGTAGCCCCAGGGGAGTGCAGTTGTCAATAAACTGTAGGAGCTAAGGATATACGGTGAATAACATCACACAAGTGACTGGGGAGGATACATCGGTCTGAACCTGCCTTTTGAAAACAGGGTGGTCAATTTTTATTTCTTTTGGTGGACAGGAGGGCTTAAAGGAGGCAGGGGGTGATGGGATGGAGGTGTTTTCCATAAGCTGCAAAGAGGCCATCTCCCATAGCAACAAGTGAACATCAGTAACCCAGGGGCAGGTATTCAGCCTCTTTGGTAACAGATTAGTTTGTAGGTTAGATTCTCATGAAATGTGGTATCAAAACCCTCTCCTCTTCTCCGGACTTCACCCAAAACCAGAAAAGTCACCTGATGCACTGGGTTCACTCTGAACCTTACCAGCAGTGCCTTCTGTGGGATGGTGGGGGGGGGGGCGGGGGAGGCGCCAGCCTGCAGGCTGCCTTTTGCAAGTGAATAGGTGGTACAGTTAACAAGCTCTTTGCCAATTTCCAAGTATCAGAACCAGGATGGGAAACTTGTTAGGGACCAGGAAGAGTCAGCTCTGAAACTTCCAACACAGTGAGTTCCAGAGAAAATTCCTTCGCCCTGTCTCCACTTCATAGTTGTACTCACACACATGCGCCCCACCCCCAAGGGCTGGCTCCATCCTTCTCTCGGTCCCCAAATGAAGTTCCACAGAGACACAATCTTAAACTTGAATACTCACCATATTGACTTCGGAAACCATGTCGATGCTGGCAATGTCAATATTCATTCCCACAGCCACGGGAGGACCTGAAAAGCAAGATGGCCAGTCACGTGATTTCACAGAACTTCATTCATTCTTAGCAAGACTTGTCTCTGACATGGGCTGCTTTGTCCCAAGTCCCTCACCACTGTTTGCCCTCCAATTATTTAATTCTCTGCTCCTTTTCTGAAAAGGTGGAAGGGCTCCCCTGGAAGTGCTCTGTTGAACGTGTACCCATGGGTCCTGATGGGCAAGGGATTCCAGCTCTGTCTATATATGTAGCTGACAAAAGCACAGAATCTTGCTGGTCGGAGGGAATTTTACATATTGCACTGAAAACCCCTCCTTCTCCTCTTCATTCTTTCCCACCCTGTTGGGTGCACCAGTTTTAACTCTGAGTTTGCTAAGAGTCTGAAGCAAAATACAAGGGATATAAAAGCATGTCTAAGGTGCCAGAAAGAGAGACTCCTCATCCTTCTTCTCCATGCCTTCCTACCCCCACAGGTCCTTCCCACAGCACCCCCACACCCCACCTTGAGGATTCCAGGACTGGATAATATTCAGACACTAGGCACTTTAAACACGGCCAGAACTCTTCCAAAGTAGGCAGGCACAGGGGGTTAACACCACTTCTCCACTAATTGTCTGCACAGCTCGTCCTCAAAAATGTTCATCATGGCCTTCAAGAAGTGGGTTTCTCTGGGCACACCACTGACTAAACTTAGGGGTTTGTGTTTCCAGGAAGCAATACAATGAAACGGGATTTCTAACAGTGAAGTCAAAGGACAGCAGTCACCAGTACACACCAGGAGGTCTCCCTGAAAGGCAGCTAGGTGCTGGACGGTAACAAACCCACCCAAGTTTGGATCAGTTTTTCAATATAGGAACACAGAGGCACATCCAATCCACCACATGTACCCACAAAGGGAAAAGGAAGGCACAGCGTGCACAGAGCTCAAAAGACAGCTGATGATCTAGCTGGGCTGTTTCTTATTTCCACGGCAACCCCATTACCTCCAAAATCGGGTCTCAGGCGAATATCATAGCCTTTCAGGAGTCTATCCACCGTCTCTTTAACCAGCGACATATTACTAGGGTCATTGACACTAAAGAAAGAAAAGACAATAAGCAGGCATCAGTAAGTAAGCCGGCACAGCGTCTTCAGCATCTATCTGATCCACACTACAGATCCCTGCTCACAGAGGTATGCAGACAGAGCCCTTCAAAGTGAGAAAGGAAAAAGAAACGCGGGCACACTTACCTCTGCGCACAGACAGCCGCGATGATTAAGGGGAATGACCAAATCCCAAAGTGGCCCCTTTTCCGGACTCTCCACATCCCTTTAGTTTTTGATGGGAATGAGGGTTTCACTGAAGAGAAGAGATCCAACTTAGTCTGCCCAGTGCGGTAATTCTAATGTGAGGCGCATGCGCACGGCGTACCAAAACATCAAAGGGGCAGCGGCGGCTGCCTGGGACCCAGCAGATTTTCTTGTTAAGGAAAAAAAAAAAATTAAAGGGGAAAAAGGAAAAACATATATATGTACAATATCTAGCTATCTGAATAATATAGAAAAGTCACTGCATAGGATCACCCAGAGCAAAAGCTTTGTTGTCCTTTCGTTAAGACAAAAACAACCAGAGCTTCTGGGTAAGTTTGGGTAGTTGCAGGGGGTAGTTTTGCACCTCGCGGTGGATTGTGCGGGTGTGTGTGTGTGTGTATTTCCTCTTAAACATGCAAAAACCAGATTAAGAATTGAGGATTAGCAGGCATGGGGTGCCAGGGAGCCCACTTCTGGTCTTAGCAAGCAGACGGAGGAGAGGAGTTTGAACTTTATTTCCTAGGCGAATAGCATCCCCTGCCTGGGGCGAGATGGGTGCTGGAGGTGGAAGCTGTGTTTCTGGGCGGAGGGGAGGGGAGGGGGGCAGGAGTCGGAGCGGGAGCAAAGAAACCAATGGGAGGAGTGCTGAGCAATCCCTTGGATTTGGGGCGCGGGGAGGGGGGGGGTAGTGGAGAATAAGAAGACACGGAAAAATAAAAAAAGGAAGCAAGAAGAGGAAAAGAAGAATAAAATGCTGCCTGCTTTTTTAGGAGTGAAGGAGCAAGCTGTTCTGCGCTACTCACGGGCGGGTTCTTTTTCCTCCACACCCTTTGCCCCTATTCCCAGAGAAGAAAACCTCGGGGTCCCGGTTTCTCGTCGTGTGACGTCCCTGACCCGCTAGTCCTGAGTATTTATAGCAAGAGGAAGGGGGTGGGCGAGGGGAGCAGGAAGACAACGCTGTCTCTCCACGTTTCGGTGTGATTCTGCATTGGGAAATTATTAGAAGGGAGGGTGGGGTTTGGATGAGGGGGGTGCGGAGACCCAGCCTGGGGCGAATGGGGCGGGGAGGGGTAGGTGCGCTGGATGCCGAGGGAAGGCTGGAGGGTGGAGGCGCGGGCCCCGGGCGGGTGGGGGAGTGGGACGCGCCCCCCACGCCCCCTCTGAGCGCGCAGCACAAGCGCGCACACGTGCAGGCTCGTCTCCGCCGCCGCCCCCACCCCCCTTACCTCGCGGGCCCGCGCCGTCCACCTACTCCCGCCGCGCACAGAGCCGGCGCCCCCGCCCCTCTGACACCCCTCCCGACCCCCCGCTTTGGGGATGCGTGGCAGGGAGGGTCACCAGGCCTTTCGGGAGCTGCGCCGGGCTGGGAACAGCCGGAGGTGAGCCTGAAGGCTAAAGGAAGAAGGGGCACAGGGGGCGTCGCGTTCTCCCGCTGTCCCCGCGCCGCCGCGTCCTCTCCGCTTGGCGGGGCCGGTAGGGACGCGCGAGCCCGGAGGCTGCTTCTGTCCTCCCGCCCCAGGCTCGACCGAGCTCGCCGCGGCCGCCTAGACTCGAAGGAGGCAGCCGGCGAGCTCGAGGGCTGGAGAGGGAGGGAAAGTCAGTCCATCCAGGTAGGGCTCTTTCCCCTGCTGGAGGGAATTAGACTAGCGGCGGGCTGGACAAGCTCTCAAGTTGGGGCCTGGGGACAAGCGAAGACGAGTTGAGACCTGGATGGACGGCTCTGGGGGTACTCCCGAGAGCATTTTGGAACCAGGCAGCAAGTGGGTGGGTAGGCCAGGTGCTCCCGCACCCGTCTTCCCCGCACTCCGTGGTGATTAACCGGATAATCCAGACCTCCGATTTGCATGCTGTACCCCAAAGCTTAACTTCCATGGCAAGGAATCGTTGTCTCCATCAACTGAGCTTGTTGAGAGTGCTTCATTCATCCTCACAGCAACTGCTGTATTTTAGTCATCAGGGCACTGTCCCCAAACTAGGGATTTAGAGACGGGTGCGCGGAAGCCAAGGAACTGGCCCAAGGTCACCCAGGTGACTAGAGGTGGAGCCTGGATTGGACTCCGAAGCTGTGTCCCTAACTACTAACCTAAGCAGCCAGAACTCTTACTTTCCGCAACAAGCCAAACAGCCAGCTTCCGGATTGTGGACTAGCCCCCGCCCGCTGAGTCCCGGGAGGTGCCAGCGTCCCACACACGGGAAGTTGGCGACTCGCCACCGAGATTTGCGTAGGGGAGGGTCCTGGTTCCGGCTGTTCTCTTGACCCATTTACCTCCTGACACGTCAGCCCAGCCTATGCCTGGGTCATCCGTGACTCCCAGGGAGGTGAAGGGACTGGAGGGCTGGGAGGCTCAATCCAACACTTCTGCTGTTGTAAGGCCAGCAGCACCGGTGCTGGGTGCCGTCACTGGCAAAGGGCTAGAGGCAGGTAAAACCGGGAGCCATAAACAATGCAGATTACTGTCTGGCATTCCTGCAGGCTCCCAGGTTCCCTAGAAGGAGGTTTGAGACTGGGAGAGAGGGAGAGGGGGAAGGAAACCTGAAGAGAGAAAAGAGGAGGGAGGGAAGGAGTCAAGGAGGAAGGAGGACTGGGAATGTGGATAAGTCTTGTATCTGTCATTACTTGGGTTGAGCGCTACTGGAATCAAAATGTAGAACTATAGCCAAGAAAACAGCGGATGTTTCTTTCTCTTTACGCTCATATACCACGGGAATCTTCACCTTACTATATTGGAGTGAAAAACCAGGTGCAGATTCTTACATTCCTTAATCAGTCTGAACCCCAGTGACCAAATATTGAAATCCTTAAAAAAAAAAAAAACCTCTTTCTTTTGAAACCACCTCAAATCAGAGTTTTCCTTCTGACCTGAGGGATATCCTTCTCACTGCACTGCCAGTCCCTCCTACTCAGGCTCACTGTAGTTTGGTAAGAAAGAGTAAAATTCAATAAACAGAACAAAACCTCAAATACTGTTATCCACCTACACTAATATTAACAATACTCATCCCCCCCCCAGTGAATGGTTAAACAAGTGTTTATGGAAGCACTATAATATAGAGAAGATCAAAGGAGAAAAGGGAAAAGAATTAAAAGTAATTTGAACCTTAGCAACTAAAACATTAACACAGGGCAAGCAGTATTTCAAAAGAAATGCGTTTCTACTTTTTGGTTCAAATTCCAGTTCAAATACTTGGGCAGGCACAGTTTATTGCAAATCTCACTTTACTGTACTGTAGAATGAACATGCTATTTGTTTGTTATTGAATGATGTAAATATATGGGTAGCATTTGGCATGTGACATTTTTAATAAAGGAATAATAAATGCACAGGATAGCAAGGAAAGTTGAATAGGATTAATCTATTAACACTCAGCAGACACACATTTAGGGCCATTATCATAGATTATCTTGAAAAGAAAGGAGCAGACATTTCAAGGGAATTAGGTAATGGTAATAAGGAAATGTATTAAAAACCCAAGCAGCACCCAAGAGAAGACAAAATAATATTTATTGTCTTTATGTGGTAAAATACCAAAAATATCTTCTGCCAATATATGTTGCTAATGTAATTAAAGACATAGTCCCACTAGTTGAAAACCTGAAATCAGCGTATGCCTGGAGTTGGTCTTTATTCTACAACAGAATCAACAGAGGGTAGGGACACCTCTCTGGAAGACAGCTGATAGCACTGCCCAGGAATGTGAAAACTGGAACAATAATGTGCAAGGGAAGGCACTGTTGGAATCTGTAGATGTGTGGGATGCAGGACTCGTTCTCCATGATCCAGATGTAGAATGAGTAAATACTGTTAGGAGATCATGCCTCAAAAATCATCTCTGGGTGTGAAACATATAAATGCCAAGTAAAAGCAGTCACTAACCATCTGCTGTTTGTCTTCGCTATATATTATTTCTTTAGTCAGTAAATATACTGGGAACCTACTCTAGGTCAAACCTTATTTGACAAGTACTTGGATGGTGTGTTGAAAAGATATGGTCCTTAACCTTCTGAAGGCCAGTGTGGGAGATAGGACATATAAAAGTTATAACAAATAAGCAGGCATTGTAAAGACAACAGGATTTACGGAAGCCAAAATTTATGCAAATAATTCAGTGTGAGGACTTGGATAAAACTTGCCTGATGAAGTGATGCTTCATTGAGAGTGGAATGATGAGTTTATTTCGCAAAGCAATAGGGGGGAGAATATTCCCCAAAGAAGTAATATGTGAAAATAACCTGGGTCAAGAAAGGAGGCAAGGAAATAATGAAGGAAGAACTGTCAAATGAGAGGGCAAGGGAAATGGTAGTTCATGATGTGTTTGGAAAGCTGGGGGCCTGGTGGTCACCTACAGAGAACGAGTGACAAGCTGAATTTCAATCACATGAGGAAGATGACATTTGGAGCCCACTGTTATTGAAAGTGAGAGGTGAAGCTGGTCTGTGTTAGGGTAGTGACAGTGAGGGTGGAGAGGAGTGCCTAGGATTATGTGGGACAACTGAGAAACACTGTGACAGATGGGACATAGGGAATGAGGGAGAAGAAGGATTGAGGGATGACTCAGGCATTTCTGGCTTGAGCTACTCATTGGTGGTGGTTAAAGAAAGTTGATAGGATAGTACATTCCATTTGGGTCACTGTAAGTCTAAGGAATTTACTCACAACGCAGCATGCACTAGACCTTGGCTGTACGCACCTGAAGCTCAGGGTGAGGGTGAAATGAGGCTAATTCTCAGCTTGTATGTTCCATTATAACTATATTTCCATCTTAAAAGTTTATTTCCCTTTTCTGCTTTAAGTCCTCTCTTAGAACATGTTACTCTCTACCATACTATATTTTACCTGTTTTATTTCTATCTTCCTTTATGGAATGAAAGATCAAAGAAATAGAGATGTTTGTCCATTTTTCTCAGAACAGTATTCTAGTACCTAGACACTTGATGCTTAGGTTTTGGAGGAAGAGATGTGTATCTAATGTCCTTGAAGGTATAAGCAGTGCAAATCATGGGAGTATGTGAGTTTTTTCCAAGGAGAATGAGCAGAATGAGAAAACTAGAGGACTAGAAA